ACGGGAGGGATGTGCCCCGCCCCATCCACCTGATGCTGCCCCCTCCCGGGAGCCGGTGCTGCCCCAAGGGGAGGGCAGGCGGCCAAGCCCAGGGCGCAGAGGGCTGTCCCTGCACAGCAGATGTGGGCAGGAGCTGCCTGGCCCTCCTGGTGCTCAGGGCAGCGCCCAGCGCTCACCTTGAGGCAGTACTCCTGCTCGGGCATGGCCTGCACCGCTCTGATCGCCCTCTCCATGAGCTCCACGAGGTCCTCGTTGAGCAGCTCACGGGAGACCTCTCTGCTGTTGGCTTTGGCGAGGACCGAGTAGACGCTGTTCTCGGCACGGGCACGGCCCCGGGCCTGCAGCAGAAGGGCCAAACGCTGCAGTCAGCAGAGGAGGGACACAGCCAGCGCCCCTGCCTCTCCGTGCCACCCCACGAGGATGGATCTGCTCTCTGCACCCCGCTGTGCCTCCCCAAGGAGATGCTCTGTCGGGGACTGGGCTCATCCCCAGGGAGCGGCCAGTGGGCACGGGGGATGCAAGAGCTCCCCGTGTCCCACCCCTCTGGCTTTGGGGCATCCGGGCAGGCTGCCCCCCACATGGGGCCGGGCAGAGTGGCCGGAGGGAGCCCCGACAGCTACCTGCATCATGGCGATCTCGTTGGTCATCAGCCCGTAGCGGACCACGATGTTGCACTCGGGGATATCCAGGCCCTCCTCGGCCACGCTGGTGGAGAAGAGCAGGTTGAGGGCTCCCTCGCGGAACAGCTTGATCACGTCCTGCTGCTCGTTCTGGGGGGAAAGAGGGGGTGAAGCTTCAGCTGTGCAGGGCTCTGAGCCCCTGGCAGCACCCGCAGCACCCGCAAAGTGTGCAGAGAGGGGCCCAGCTCCTCCCCACCCTCCACTCGCCTGCGTCATGTGCCTGGCCTGGTTGCTGTAGCCGGCGCCGGTGAGGACGGCAGCCCTGATGTGCTGCCCGCAGAGCGCGGCCGTGTCCTGCAGCCAGCTGAGCAGGCTGTGTGCGCTCTGTCGGGTCTTGGTGAAGACGATGCCGCGAGAAGCACCCAGGGGCTGGAAGTGCTCCCGCAGGATCTCCTCCAGCTTGCCCAGCCTGGGGTTCTCGTAGCGCCGGTCCCTGGCGAGCGCCTCCAGGCTCGTCCTGTTCTCTGTGCGGGCAAGTGGGGCGTCACAGGGGGTCTCTGCCCCCTCAAATGCAGCCGGCACCAACCTCCCCCAGACCCCTCCATTACCCTCAAACGTGGCGGTGAGGAACTGTTCGGTGGGGTCCTTTGTGTCCCGCTCGGCAGTGTAGAACTGCTGGAGGCACTGGAAGGCATCGATCATCCGCACCGTGTCGTTGATCAGCAAAGCGTCGTTGTACTTGCGCAGGTGAAGCGCGCACACCCGCGTCTTGCGACAAAACGTCTCTGCCGCTGGTGAGGGATGGGGCACACCGTGGTCACAGCCCGGCCCCGCCACTGCCGGCTTTGCCCCGCCGCACCCACACTGCCACCTCCTCACCTCTCTTCTCCAGCTCCACGATACGCTGCTCATAAACCTGCGTGCCAAAGTCCTGCAGCAGGCTGGGCATCTCCATGTACTGGTGGATTCGCTCCATCACCTCCTTCAGCCGCTTGCCAAAGGGGTCCTGGGAGCAGAGGGGGGCTCAGGACCCGAGGAATCGGGGATGTTGCTCCAGGCAGCCTCAGAGGCGCAGCCCAGAGCGCTTCGCCCAGGGTTGGGGGCTGTTTGCACAGCAGGACCGGGAGGGTTGCAGGATCCCCCCACCCCAAAGCTCCGGGTCAGACGATTCCTCAGACTGGTCTGTACTCAGGGGACAGAGGGACACGGCCCCCGGCTGCCCCTCACCTGCGCTCTCTCCTGGCACAGGTCGTACTGCTTCCTGGGCTGGGGGACGTGGCTCTGCAGTTGCTGCAGCTCCTCCAGCGCCGACGTGATTTTCTCGGTGTCCAGGTTGGCACAGATCTGAGAGGGCGAGACCCCGCTCCCAGCCCTGAGCCCCGGCTACACAGGGCAACACGCTGTGTGGTGCTCATTGGCACCCCGGCGAGTTCGGGGGTGTCTCCCCCACCCTGCTGAGCTGCCCAGCGCCTGCACTGGATTATCGGTGCCCACCCCAAGGGACACCGCGCTACACCCCAGGGGAAGCTGTGCCTGGGGCCGTTGCACCCTGTCTCGGCACAGGATGGGGGCGCAGGACCCACCTGCAGGATGTGCTCTACGGCCCCCTCGAAGGAGGTTGCCCCCCCAGTACCGGGGGATGCCGTCAGGCCCAGGACCTGCGGCAGGTCCTGCTGCCCACTGAGCTTGCGCTGGAGGTAATTCAGCATGATTTTGTTGTAGACAGCTTCCTTGTGCGTGTGATGGCACTCATCTATCACCAGCAGCGAGAAATCTGCGCCGGGCAAGGGAGGGGAGCGGGGTGAGCCTCGGCGGGGGCTTGGCCGGGGCAGTGCCACCCCAGCCCGGCCGTGGGAAGAGCAGCGCTGGGGGTCCCGCACCCACCTGTCAGCTCCACACGTGTGTCCTCCTCCTCGCTGACCAGCGCGTTCTGCAGGATCTGGGCCGTGCAGATGACGATGTCGCTCTGCTTCACCACGCAGGCGAAGAAGGACTTGTGGCTGCTGTCACCGCTGATGGCTGTCACCCTGAAGTCCTTCTGCAGCGCGCTGAACTCCTTCTTGGCGTGCTGGTCCACCAGGTGCACCTGCGCCCGCAGACCC